CCTACTTTTGATACCAAGGCAAGACAAATGAAAATGAAAGCATACTCGGACAGCCCGCTTCATCAGAACAAAAGCCGTGGGGTAAGAACAACAATTTGCCTTTTTACGGAGGGTTTGTGCCAGTTTCTTGACTGGGATCAGTCATTTCCTGTGGTCTCAGCTGGTTGTCTGCTCATGTCCCATGTCTGCACCAAACATCAAATTATTCATTTGAAAGATGATGCAATTATCCTTTTTTTTTAAAGGAAAGCTAAAAAAGAGAACCAGAATTATAGATGTCAACATGCCAGACTGTCCTCCCAACATCATATAGTACAATTTGTTCCAGCAAACCCCTAAAACACATATTGACACAGCAGGATGACTCGGAAGGGAATGAGTAACACCGTTGTTACTGGTTACTGTTGTCAAACGTTTCTCTGTTTCATACTGAAAGTCAACACTAATTGTGACTTTGATTGTTCCTTTTGATCGGTGACAACGAAAGGCTTTATGAAGAATTAGTTATTTCCCGATTTCCGTAAACCTAATCGAACCAAACCAGTGTTGAGACTTATTTTGAAGAGAGTTTGAACAACCAAATATGTTCTTGTTTCATTTTGAGGATTTTTATGTGGTCCAGATGTTCTGCGGGAAGTATGATCTTGGAGGGGAAAACCAGCAACCCGTGAACCCGAAGATTTTCATACACCCTGAAGGTGTTCTTTGTCTTATTGATAAGAACCAATACCGCGACTGCAGACACTTCAATGTGGACTTTGCCCTTTGCAACAAATAAAGGCACGGTGGACGGGACATTCTGCCGAAACTAATGAGTAATGCTCAAGAATGTGTGATTCAAATGTGCACGGCACTTAAGAACATTTTATTCCTACAGCTGGAGAATGAAAAATATCATCTCATGTCTTCAATAAGGAGTTCAGATACACAAGCTCTACCTTCATGCTCTACCTTCATGCTCTACCTTCATGCTCTACCTTCATGCTCTTTGCCTGTATTATCTTTTTAACTATTGTCTTGCCATGCATGTTTCTTTTCCAAATGTTAAATCTTTAAAATAAGAATTTTAATAATATACTTTAAAACGTCATGATTTAAAAAAAAAGATCAACTAAATAATTTCCCACTCAGCGTTTGTCGGTTATAGATTTATAATGAGAAAACGTCAAGGTTGTGACTCCCACTCATTTCCTTACAGCTGTCAATACAAATACACGTACTGAATAAACACCTCGATGTGGACGACTTGCAAACAATTAATCTAATTAATGTCAGTGTTTGATGTACATTCTGCCATTATGACTTTTCCACAAAGCAAACCCAGCCAACATAGGAAATAATAAAATAATGATGTCGTTATGAAAAAAAAGGTTCATTCGGTACATGTGTGAATCCACCCGTTTGCCTCACCTGCAGGTTGAGGTGTCCCACCATCCTATTAACAGCCCGTGCCTCCCTCAGAGGTTCAGTTTAACGTGACACAGCACCCAGCATACGTCATGAGTCCACACGCATTCAGGGTTTAAAAAAAGGCTGGAACAGAGGCATCACTTCCTGACCAGTAATGTAATACCTCAACTGAGTCATTCCTCTCAGCACTGCTTTCAAATTTCATTTCTGCTTGTTTAAGTGTTTTTCTCTCCTCCCTCGCACAATTGCGGTGTCGGTGTACGGACGGGCTTCCACTGATTGCCTCGCCGCTGCCGTGATTGAACGGGCATGAGTAGCATCTCTGAGGCCGCAAGGGGCTATAGGCTGCATACCAAGCGGGGTATGCACGAGGGAGCCACAGATACAGAGAAGCATCAGTGAGTGGGTGGGAGGGAAACCCTGCACAACAAAGCACCACAGAGTTCAGAGTTATTGAATGCAGCAGCACAGACAGGCTTTGTTGCAGCAGCTGAGGTCATCGACAGAGTTAATCTTCATATAATCGTGCAGAATATAGCGGGTGTTATGCGCTAATATTCATGTTTTAAATCAGCTGTTGTACGTGCGTCTCCATTAAACGTGCCAAATGAGCTGTTTTTGAGAAGAAGACAGGATTCATGTGAGGGACTGATGCCAATATTACTGCCATTTAAATACAGAAAGCAGTAACTACAAAAGCACCAGTGTTAACAAAAAGGATTTTATGTTTTATAACGGTCAGACAATTTATTCCATGCCGACATTTAAATGTTGCATTGCTTTCTTTTTAGGCATCATAATATCTAAATACAGTAACGGCCAAAAGAATGTGTTCTTTTAGTGTTATTAAGTGGCCCGAGGGTGGCATTTGGAAATGTAAAACATTATACGAAACCCATTTTCATTTATGTATTATCAACTGACCCAGAGACCCGTTTGCTTTTTGTATTTTAGAATGAATGATTTGGGGCACTTGCCGCAGAGTACAAAACCTTGGTACCGCCAGCTGCCGTCTGATGCCTGTTGCTCATAATTTATTGTTATCCTAGTATGAATGGCCACACTGCAGCTCATGTTACCGGACTCTTGAAAAGGTGGGAAATGATTGGAGGGGAATTTAGCCGGGTGCAAACCAACAACCACACTGCTGGAGGCCCCTAAATCCCACACGCTGTCCCTTTAAAGGGTTTGTTTGAAGGGATTATTTGTGCTGATATCAATTTGATAAATGATCTGATACCTTTTAACAGTGCAGAGTGGTTTCACCGCTGATCGGGTTTGGGCAGCTCACTGAACTGAATTACCAAGTTGGTGGTTTATTAAACAAGTAAATACTGTTTTAGCGTTTGCTAGCTTGGGCTGCATCACCAGCTTCCACAGGATAGAGAAAGATTCATTAAAGCCGTCTGGTTTAAATGTTGTGACAAAGTGACATTTTTGGAATTACAGTAAATTTGTATATAAAATGTTTATTTGAAAATATATATTTATATGCAAAAATGTAGTTAAACATTAAACATGTAGTCAGTCAGAGTACATCGTCTTGCACCACGAGCTGCAGCCTGTCACAGAAACGTCTGCCACAGTGACACATGTGCCTGACCACACGCACACACACACACACGCACTTCTACTACGTCTTGCCTACTCCTGAAGACGCAGACGTCTAACGCTGTGTGACTACACTCCCCGGGGCTTCGTTCTGCTCCACTGGATGAGCGCTGCCTGACTGCATGCAGAGAAATCAGGGAATCCCTGCGTTCTCTGGCTTCTCTCCTCATTTCCACCCCCATCTATTCCCCCTCCAGCAGCCCTGAGTGTGTGAGTGTGTGTGTGTGTGTGAGCTGTACAAAAGCTTGGTTGTCATTAGGGAGCCATTCTCCCTGTGACAATGATAAAACAGCCTCCGCAGCAGACACTGCATCCAGCGCTCTGTGAGCCAAATGAACCAATTTAAAGACGTGTCATGGTGACGAATTACATGGCGGCATGATTTACGCAGCAAAAAGAAAAAACAAGGAACCCCAAAAAAAAGGCAGTGTGGAATTGGTCAGGGATTTGTAAATGTACACATCGTATACTGTACAGACGTTCAAGATGCTTCTTATTTTCATAGTACTCGTTTTAATTTACATTACATTACATTACATGTCATTTAGCTGACGCTTTTATCCAAAGCGACGTACAATAAGTGCATTCAACCATAGGGTACAATTTACAGCTGTTTCTAGTCTCACACACCTGATGGAAAACGCTGGCTAAAGGTTGTCCGTGGCTACTTTGTCAGAAGCCACATAGCCGGCAGTCTGACAGGTATAATAGCACCTTTAATAAGAAGAACTGGCCTTTTCAGACTACGTTGGCTCTTTGAACTGGTAGTATTATAAATGTAGCACTTGCTGCCAGATAACTGCAGTTAATAAGGAAAAAACATCTAAGTCCACTGGTCTCTCGTCCATTTTTTACCTGAAATCTGTTCAGATTTAACCAAATGTTACATGAGATTTAGTGATATCCAGTCGGCTGGTCAGATGATAAAGTTGTACAATTGTACGTGATTGTCTGTCAATAAATATACAATTTAAAGATGAAAGGGCTAATTGATTGTCTTGTCTGGATTGTTTTCTGACATTTTACAGGTCAAACTACTGATCAAAACCATTATCAGAGTCATCGGTGATGAGTTACAACCCTTTTAGCCATCCTGCATGTATTCCAGACGCAAACTCTTCTGGCTCCTCAGCAGAGGCTTCAAACGTCTGCCAACGTCTTAGCATCTTCACAAGAAGCTTCACATTTTCCTCGATCCTAAACTGCATATCACGTCTCTGCTGTGCGAAGCGGCAATCAAACACAAGCACAACACCAACTAATCCGAGGCAATGATGAATTGTAATGAGGGGTGCACCTGACACGTCTCCAGCCCTGGTGCATGTTCAGAAAACAGAGCAAGAAATTCAGCCAATGCTGCAGACATTAGGCAGCATCCCTGTGGGTCTGCCACCTCTTCAGTAACACCTCCCCGAGAAGCAGAGGGATATCCTGGTGATTCCTCGTGAAACCAGCACAGGCGTCAGTAATCAACTACTGACATATTATAGCAGCATAAAGTTGATTTTAAATGAAGTCCCCCAAACCCCCAGTGATCGACTGATCCAAACCTCTGCCCGTCATGTCGTGACATCGTGGCTATGGGTTTCAAACCCCTCGGGACAGCAAGTTAATTCATGCAACATATTCTCGGCACATTATCAAAAACAAGTGAGTCGACTTGACTGCAGGTTAATATACCTTCGGCACAGCGGGAGGCAACAAGAAGCCCGAAGAGGAGCGTTTTACTGCATTGCACCTGCCCTAACGCGCTCAACTTTAGGGAAGTGGGGCTGCTTGGACCCGTCGATCCGTGACTAATCCTCCAAGGTCGTGGTCCTGGTGGTGTATAAACAGCCCCCCCCCCGCCTTCACCAAAAACAAAAGACACCAACCGAACAGCACATGACACATGGGGACGAGCGGGCAGCGGCTGACGGTGCCATATGCCGGAGGAGACCCGCAGGTGTCGGGGGGGTCCCGGCGTGTTACCGTCTTACCTGATGCCCATCGGAGGAGAGGAGGAACCGGCAGGAGAGCGCGACAGGCCGGGGGGAGTCCGTCCCGGGATCAGTGACTGTACGTCAGCGTGTCGGTGCGCCTCGGCACCGTCTGAAAGCGCGTATCCACAGCCAGGGTGTTCCCGGCAGGAGGGGGCGTGGTGTGTGCGCGCGCGCGTGTGTGCGTGTGTGTGTGCGTGTGTGTGTGAGAGAGAGAGAGAGAGAGAGAGTATATTTGTTCGTAAGTACGTGCGTGTGTGTGCGCCCGCGGGAGCGCGCGTGCGTGTGTGAGTGTGTGTGTGTGTGTGTGTGTGTGAGAGAGAGAGAGAGAGAGAGGGTATGTTTGTTCGTGAGTACGTGTGTGTGTGTGTCACTCAATCCTCATAAATAGCATTATTCCAGACAATGCGACAGCTGTTTCTTCAAAACCCAGACTCTGTGTTTTCAGAAATTCACTTAAAAACTATTTCCTAGAAATTCCAACCAAATACATTTAAGTAGTTCTGTGCTCTAAATAGGTTCAGGGCGACTGCATCCTGTCACCTGTCGTAAATTATGTGGCCCCATTTTCCTGCTGTGATTCTCCAGAGTCTTATAATTATTCCGTTATTATGGGCAGAACTCTGCTGCAGCGTTGATTTAATAATGAACCAAATGGTTTGGTCATTAGACCATTAGCGCCAAAAAAAAGAGTAGAAGATGGATGGCAAGACAACTGTATTCCAAATCAACACAGCTTCTTTGGAAAGCGGACTTGGCCCTATTGCGGCTAAGCGTCGGCTAACTCGGCTGTGTTCCGGCTCGATGCGGCCAAATGTTAGCCAGCTTTGGACCATTTCATTTTTGCCATATCTGTCCCAGAAGTATGGGGCATATCCTGGAGCCCCATGCAGGTAGGGGACTCCATAGTCCTACTGGAGAGGGATGATTGGGAGGAATGGCCTCGCTGATCTGAACCAGCGAGTGGTTGTTTGTTATTGAACGTATGTGCCAGTCACGGATTGTCCATAACAAACACCATGTTCGAACATAAGGATGTTCATGTGTACGTGGTACCAGAGCACCCTAGGCCAAAGATCAATGATCGATTTTGTAATCCTATCGTCTGATCTGAGGCCGCATGTTCTGGATGCATGTTGTATTGCCATAATGTATCTGTGTTAAAAGATGAACATGAATTATATGTATTTGCTTTCAGGTGAAGGAGCCACAGACACAACCCGCCCTGATTCTACACTACAGCCTAATGGATCTTGTATTTGTATTTATTTTGCAGTGACAGCGCAGAATGTATGAACGAGGGACACACTAAGCCAGATAGCTAATTTATTTATTGTTGAAGTTCCAAAGTTACTAAAAATAAAAATGTTCTGAGACCATTATATTTCCTGTAGTACATTTATCAAATATAGATGTACAGTATAATACTGTACATACAACATAGTGTACATATAATGTATATCAGAATGATGACATGGAATGGATATGGTTCAAAGTGGGCCTACTTTTAAATGTTGTATATGTTATATATATATATACATACATACATATATATAATGTACATATATAACAACATATTCCCATATAGGCATTTGGTTTACCAAATATTAAGAATTAAGAATATTTAATACAGTCTGAATTCAATCCGTAGTTGTTTTTTAACTCGAATGGCTGCTTTATTTTCCTGATAAATAACGGTGGGTTTACAGTATTTTCATGAATGATCAAATATGACGCTGTTTTTTATGTGTGACTTCCACCGCCAAGAGGCAACGCAGGGAAATCAGTCCCCCGCTTCAGTAGTAACAGTCTTGTCTTTTCTGCGCTCGTTGACTCTGGAAAACAGGAAGTAAACCGGAACTGAGTAGCTACACGGAACTCCCCCCGACCCGGTGACATTAAAGTAATTAACTATAATAACGTAACTCTGTGCGAGTAACGATGGAGGAATACAACTCTGGAGATGAGGTAAACTTGTTTTGAATACAATTTTTATCTTAACTCATTAAATCTCTGCCGTCAAACTAACGTTAGCTTCTGCCAGCTAAACCGGCTAGCAGAAGCTAACGGTAATTTCCATCGAGGTGTGGTCACTCAATATTATTACATCTAACGTTAACGATCAAGTTGCTGTGAGGGTTAAATTGATACATTTTAAATACCTAGCGTTCATATATATATATATATATATATATATATATATATATATATATATATATATATATAATTTTTTTTCTTTTTCCTTTATATATATATATATATATATATATATATATATATATATATATAAAGGAAAAAGAAAAAAATGATACTAGATAGAAATAATTACTATTTTTATTATTATATTAAAGAGTAATTCAGTTCAAGTGTATTGAAAATAAGATGTACTTTTATTTTTTAAATGTAAGTGGATTGCTTTGATATAGATAAAACTCCTCTACAGTTTTTTGAAAAGTACATTTGCGACTTTTCTTTGTGTTCTCTTGAAGTAAACTGATTTTTTTTTTAGTTCAGAGCTGTACAACTAAAAAACATTGAAAATCGAACCTTGGACTAGTAAAAATAAAAGTTAGTTGCAGCCCCATTGGAAACCCATTATGAGATTGAAATAAAAATAAAACTTTCAGCCTGCAGCAAATTTATTTAGTCAAATATTTGCACAAGGCAGCATGTAACTTAATGGTCACAGGACTTTATAAAGCAGTGTAATTTTTTTTAAACAACACATAGTATATCCTAAAAATGACTTAATTCAGTATGTATTATTTTTTCCTGTGCAAGTCATCATTGAAATATAAAAGAGGCTAGGTTGATAAAAACATCTTAAGAAATGCACTTATCTTGGACTTGACGGACGCTGTCACTGTATCTCTCAAATCAAAATCAATGAACACCTGAAAACTCTTCAGTTCAACGTTTTGTGGACAAAACCTACTGTTTTAATGTATACAATTAAGCTTCAGCTAATTTGTTTTACTATTTTTAGACATGATATAGATAGACATTAAATGGTGGATTCTTATCTAAATTATTCAGTTAAATTGACGTTACTGACAGAAAGACTTGTTTGCTAGTTTATTGTCCCTTAGTCTCATTCTGGCTCCTCAGCATTCAGCTAGCCTTCAGCTTGAGGATAAACACCGACTTAAAGAGGCGGCTATATTCACCACGTCACAGAAACATCCATATTTCATGGTTTTCTCTGGTCGACCAGTTGAGCAAACACGTTGACGCCCCAGCCGAGGCCTCTGTGGATGTGACCCCGGCCGGCCTGTTTCCCCTCGAGTGGCTTCGGATGATTACTGTTCAGACTTTTACATCTTTCCTCAGTGAAGAGCATATCTAAGAATAGCACACAGTGGCTGCGGCTCCTTATCTCTGACAACATAACCAGGGAGGGAAACGTCTGTCTCTGCTGCCAACTTCCTCAACAAGCAACTCTTCAAATATCACTAACAATCAGCTCATTTCTTTGCATCATAACTGCAACAAGACCGCTTTCAGGGCGTCAAACTTGTTTTCTTTCTTTCTTATCAGCTTCTTATCTTAAAAAACGTATTAACTTCATAAGAGGAGGATGCATCATTTTGTCTTTCAGAAAAGTCAACCTAAGTTGACTTCATCGGTCTCTCAAGGGTTAAAAATGCATTGCTGGAGTTTCACTAAACAAACTTGACTTAAGGTCTGTGTACTGAGGCTTTTTTTTCCTGCAGCTTTTGTAACGTTGAAAATCCCCCCCCCCTGAAAACGGTCGTTTTCTTATGGTTCCTTCTCCTGGAGGAATCAATACAACATAATATGTGCAGACTTTGATAACAGAAGCTTGTTTCAGTTTAATCTACTAAAAGAACAGATTTTCTCTCTGCTCACCTGGAATCTGGAAGCTAAAGATAGTTGCCGCTGTTGATGAAAACGACAGGAAGTTATTGTGCTTCTAATTGTCAGGAAGAGGAGAGACTGATTGGTCTGGTTCCACGAGGCACCAGTAGCTTACTGTACTGGACTCCTTTAACGATAATGTTGTCCTCATGTGTTCACATCTGATCTCAACAGCATAATTGGACATGACATGTAGACCAGCTACTATATATTTAAACATCAAAACCACCCATATCAATTAGTAGAAATAACATTATCTAAAAGATATTCAGAGTTATTGTAATTATTTAATTTCCAATGGGAACTGTGATCCAATCCGCTCCGAGAAGTTGTCCAATCCAAATCGTTAGTGTTTAGGATCTGTTGCACCCCAAATGGATTATAGCCGCCACACATCAACATTATTTTGTCAAAATCTGTCTGCACTTCCTCTTTTCACTGAAAAGAGGACGAAGATCAGTGATGTTTGGAACTGATATTCGTCTCTTCATCCGTCTATGAGACTGTTTTCTGCAATCTGAAAGAGCCACCGACAGACTCAACCTTTCCACTCTTATTTATTTATCTGTATTTTAATGGAGTCGGTGGTGCGTGCCGCTCCAGCCGATAAACCGTCTGACCCTCAGCACCCCTGTGGATTAAATCCTCCTGGCTCGGTGTTAAAGTGGTGCTGTGCACCAGTTGCAGCCTCGACCTCGTCTCCACCTGCACGCAGCTGCACAACAGCTGTCTGGACATTCGAATGAACAGGCTGCTCAATGCTCGTGTACACGCAGCAAAAGATATTGTTGCCACATCAACAAAAATGATTCCTGGCCTAACTGTGCGAGTGTTGAAACAATGGCTTTATATGAACCTTTTATTGTAGCTTTTTAGTGTTCAAATAGATCACGTTTCAAGACCTGAGAGTTGGGTTGAGGTCAATCCTTTCATTGATTGTAGGACAGCTGCAAATGTGTGTTTGGATTTGCACCGTGGTTTTAAACGAACAGACAATTTTAAAGATGTGCTCTGCAATTGTAATGGAAATTTAATTCACTAAAACACATTAAAAATATTAAATACACTTAATATTGAGCTTATTTGCAGCACTGGATAAAACATCAACATTTTCATGAATACATATTTGTCCTGGGCGGCACGGTGGCGTGGTGGTTAGCACTGTCGCCTCACAGCAAGAAGGTCCTGGGTTCGATTCCGCCCAGTGGCCTTTCTGTGTGGAGTCTGCATGTTCTCCCCGTGTCTGCGTGGGTTCTCTCCGGGTTCTCCGGCTTCCTCCCACAGTCCAAAGACATGCTCTGGGGATCAGGTTAATTGGGGACTTTAAATTGCCCGTAGGTGTGTGAATGTGAGTGTGAATGGTTGTGTGTCTCTGTGTTGCCCTGCGATTGGCTGGCGACCAATCCAGGATGTACCCTGTCTATCGCCCGAAGTTGGCTGGGATGGACTCCAGCCCCCCTGCGACCCTGTGTGCAGGATAAGCGGTTTGACAATGGATGGATGGATATTTGTCCTTCAGAACCAACCTGGTCAAAGCTGCACTTTAGGTATGTTTTCCTTTCCAATATTAATAATGTGCACACTCAGTGAGGTCGGCATGCTGAAAATGATCAGTGGGGGATCAGAAAAAAGATCCTGAGTATTATGAGAACCTTCAGCAAAACAGCATTCCTCACACTGTGCTGAAATGTCAGGAAACGTTTTCAATAAGCGTGAATCTGGTTTTCTATCTTTATTTGATCTCGATCTATCAACATTTCGCTCCGTTTTGTAAAACGTTACATGTGATCTAACCAGCGCTGCTGCGGTTTTCATGCTGCTTTGCTCCTGCAGGTGTCTGGAGGCGTTCTGCATCTATGGCAGTGTGGGCCGTGTGGAGGAGCCCTACGTCAGCATCATCAGGAAGAAGCAGATGCCTCGCCGGGGACAGTCGGAGGAGGTGGAGCGGCAGGTGGGGCAGGCGGAGGGGAAACTGTTTACACACCGAGCCGCCTTCGCCCGCACCTCGGTAATTCAGGCCTTCCTGGGATCGGCCCCCCAGCTCACCCTACAGCTCTACATCTGCGTCCTGCAGCAGGGGGTCTCCGTCGGACGAGGTGAGGAGGAGGAATTTAAGTGGGTTTGACTTATGTCACATGTCCCCTTAATCCCCCCCACCCCTCTTGCCAGTACACAGCTCCACCGCGGTGTGGGCCGATCAGCTAAGAGCCATATTGGAAATAAGAGGATGGTGTTTTCATGAGTCAAAGTGATGTTATATAACCACCTCTCTGATTCACAGGAGGGAAAATGGTGATTCTCTCCGCCAGTAGGTGCACACCTGGCTGTCCAACGCTTTGAGCCAGCCAGTTGTTCTATTTCTGAGAGAGATTTATAGAAGTTTCACACAAGGGCAAAACGAGGCATCTGGTCTTCAAGTTAGGACAAATGATGTTTTGGATGCATAAATCTTTTCTTCTGCTCCGGACCGTCTGACACTTCTATTTCACGCTTAGCGATTTAACAGCCTGATTGTGATGAAAGGGAGCCTCAGGGCCTTTTTAAAGGAGGGCTTTACCGTCAGTACAATCATCAATTCCCTCTATGTAATGGCAATTAAAATATATATTTAGGCCATTTCAATGGAGGGGATAAGGGGAAAAATCCACAGTCAAGTTTATCTGAAGTCTTCTTAGAAGCAAATCCCATCTTTTATGATGCCTCCACTGCTGTGCACTAATGAACAAAAAAGAAAGCTCCTTTAATGTGGTGATGTGGGGCTTTCATTCAGTCTGTAGATCACATAGACACCATACACTGTAATATTGTCTTATATACTTTCAGGACAGAAAACATGCATGATACCAACATTTTATAATCTTAACAAAGACCAAAAAATGTTTCTTTTGGGAAAAGATGAACCCAAATGAATTTTGGAGGACACGCTTACCTCACTTATCTATCTCTCTTTTACAATGTCAGGCACTCTGATGGTGATCTCCCTCCTGTCTATTGTGTACGGGGCGCTGCGCTGCAACATCCTGGCCATTAAGATCAAATACGACGACTATGAAGTGGACGTGCGCCCCATGGCTTACGTGTGCATTTTCCTGTGGAGGAG